TTCTGCTGCCAAGAAGGGGTTAAAGATAAGGGAAGCAGCTCTGGGCACCCCCAGGAACCAAAATTCTGGATCTTGAATTCCAGCTGGGTTTGGAAATCAGGGGTGCAGGGGGGGATTCTGCTGCCAAGAAAGGGTTAAAGAGAAGGGAAACAGCTCTGGGCACCCCCAGGAGCTAAAATTCCAGCTGGATTTGGAATTCCAGCTGGATCTGGAAATCAGGGGTGCAGAGGGGGATTCTGCTGCCAAGAAAGGGTTAAAGAGAAGGGAAACAGCTCTGGGCACCCCCAGGAACCAAAATTCCAGCTGGGTCTGGAATTCCAGCTGGGTTTGGAAATCAGGAGTGCAGAGGGGTTTCTGCTGCCCAAAAGGGGTTAAAAAGAAGGGAACACAGAGTTTACAGTAAAAGGAAAGGGTTTGGATGCAAGAGGGTGGGAAAAGATGGAATAAAGAGTGTGTGCAGCCCCGGGACAGTGAGGAATCCCCAACCCTGCAGAATCTGGGCAAGTTCCCAAAGCAATCCAAAGCTGGAGGTTGCCCTGCTCTGACTGGGGCAGTCAGGGTTCCCCCAAACTTCCTTTCTGTCAATTATCCCATTAAAAAACCCCACAAATAAATGATTGTTTCCTCCTGAGCCTGGTTTTCCCTTTCAGGTGTAATTGGCCCTGCTCAGGCCCTGCAGCATCTGTTCCTGCCATGGCCAGAGCAGGATCACACAAAGCTCCCTAATTAGGGTGGCTCTGGAGCCACAGGATCAAACAAATCCCAGAGAATCATTAAACTGCACATTTCACAGAATTTGTGCTTTTGGACACAGAGCTGAGATGCAGACACAGCTCCTTCCCAGCACCACGGGGCCAAAATGTGGGGAATCAGGGAAAAAAAAACTGGTTTAATTCAATTATTAATGCCAAAATCAGCTCCTCCCTTCCTGTGTCCCTGCCTCCCACACCTCCCAACCCTCTCCCTGCCCTGGTGCCTCCCAGACAGCAACAAATTCCTGAATTCCCCAGATCCTTCAGCAATCACAACCCCCACTAAGACTGTATTTCACTGTTTTGATAATTATCATAAAATTATTGGATGCCATGTGCTTAATTCCTTAAATGGACCAGTCAGTTAATTAGTTCTAATATAAAAATGAAATAATTTATGTTTGAAGTGTCACTGTCAGGGAAGGGAAGGGAAGGGAAGGGAAGGGAAGGGAAGGGAAGGGAAGGGAGANGCCCCCCTGAGCCTGGTGGTCCTGGGTGGTGCTGCCCCATGCCAGGGGGGCCGTGGTGCACCTGCATGGGTGGCATTCCTGGGAGGGGGGGGGAAGGAGTTAGGGGTGTCAGGGAGCCCCCCCAGGAATCAAAACTGCAGCTGGGTTTGGAAATCAGGGGTGCACAGGGGGATTCTGCTGCCAGGAAAGGGTTAAAGAGAAGGGAAACAGCTCTGGGCACCCCCAGGAACTAAAATTCCAGCTGGATTTGGAATTCCAGCTGGATTTGGAAATCATGGGTGCAGAGGGGGATTCTGCTGCCAAGAAAGGGTTAAAGAGAAGGGAAGCAGCTCTGGGCACCCCCAAGAACCAAAATTCTGGATCTTGAATTCCAGCTGGGTTTGAAAATAATGGGTGCAGAGGGGGATTCTGCTGCCAAGAAGGGGTTAAAGAGAAGAGAAACAGCTCTGGGCACCCCCAGGAGCTAAAATTCCAGCTGGATTTGGAATTCCAGCTGGATTTGGAATTCCAGCTGGATCTGGAAATCAGGGGTGCAGAGGGGTTTCTGCTGCCAAGAAAGGGTTAAAGAGAAGGGAAGCAGCTCTGGGCACCCCGAGGAACCAAAATTCCAGCTGGGTCTGGAATTCCAGCTGGATTTGGAATTCCAGCTGGATCTGGAAATCAGGGGTGCAGAGGGGTTTCTGCTGCCAAGAAGGGGTTAAAGAGAAGAGAAGCAGCTCTGAGCACCCCCAAGAACCAAAATTCTGGATCTTGAATTCCAGCTGGGTTTGGAAATCAGGGGTGCAGAGGGGGATTCTGCTGCCAAGAAGGGGTTAAAGAGAAGGGAAGCAGCTCTGAGCACCCCCAGGAACCAAAATTCCAGCTGGATTTGGAATTCCAGCTGGATCTGGAAATCATGGGTGCAGAGGGGATTCTGCTGCCCAAAAGGGGTTAAAAAGAAGGGAACACAGAGTT